ATGGAACACCTTTTTGTCTTGTCACCGTGTTTTTCCATGAATGAGATAAACTGCATCGAATATTCGTACATAAACTTGCTGTTGCCGCTTATCTACGAATCATTACTAATTCAATAATATCAGTGGCTAGCAGTATGTGGCAATGGTGTGGTGGTTCATTAATCAACAGTAAATACATTGACGTATGCAAGGGTTTTTTCTTTGCTATCATCCCAACTTAACACATGATGATTGCAAAGAACATTCCTCTTGGATGCCCTGCTAGTCAAGTCCACTGCTAGTCAAGTCAAGCTGTGTATGCATATCTAATTTCTGCAATGTGTGACCATGGGACATTGCATCCACCTCATTAGCAAATTGTTTAGATCTGCAATAGTTGACTAGGAACATAATATATGATAATCTGAAGACTATTATTTTCTCCTCAGCATTATGCGGTTACAAGACACACTTTGTCCAGCGAAAAGAAAATGTATTTGTTACTCAAAATGGTAGTTTAGGTCTCAGATTATGGCTTTTGTCCCTTCGTGTTGTCTTGACTAGTTACAACTTTCAGTTCATCTGCTTGCTCAATATCAGGATTCGTCTTGGGTGCTTCCTTGCATTTGCTGTAAATGCAGTACACGACCAACTGAAGAATACCCATTAAGCAGCCAATGAAGCTTGGTGCCTTTACATGAAAACAAGTATGTCAGCATAATTTATACATTTTATTGTGCTAAAGTTTCTTTCTGTACTAACCGTGAGAAAAGGATCCTTTCCAAGGAGCCCATACAGCATCCAGAGTAAACTTGTCAAGAAGCTAAACAATGACAAGTAGAAAGGCATGAACTCCACGCTTTTCGTCCTGATAACTTGTTTCTGGAATGTTGGATAAAAAGTTAATTTTCTTGCCATGCCTTCTGTCTAACTGAATATATTTTTTCTGAAGTACTTTGGAAACTGATATAAGTCCATTGAACCATTTTTAGATATTGTGGAACATACGATATTTTATACAACTTATCACATACATTTGTGGATCAATTTGTCAGGCTTAGAACGTTGTTGCAAATCATTATGATGAAACATGTTGTTCTTTTCTCTGTGAATCATAGTTCAGGAGGCACGTTAAGTAACAGTACTCACCACAGCTACCAACGGAGAGCCATACATTAATATGGAAGCCACCAAACCAATGCTTCCGACAAATACTTTACGCATTTGGTGGGTGTGGAATGAGAAAATTGAAAAAAATACAGCCATGCCAAAGATGATTAGAATAGGAGATACCATCATCATGACAAGCTTCTGCAAAAGATTGCCAGTTAAGTGTTAGGATTACTAATGGATAATAATTCTTATAACATCATATACGTATCTAAACATCGAATTACTCACCATTTTAATTATAAGATTTTAACTACAATTGTGAAATAGTACCTATAAAGCCTATGGATAACTATGAAATAATATATTTTCTTATGTTTGCATCAGAAGGCTGGTGTTTGGTCCTCCTTACATGGTTCAGCAAGAGCGAAAGCGACATTTTATAAATAGAAACATAAAGTGCTCTTGTCCTTAGTCAACATGCTTACAACTAAACATAAAGTGTTCTTGTCCTTAGGCAACTATGCTCATAATTTACAGATTTATGTTCTTAAATTCACTACACACTAAGTCACTAGTAACTAGATTCTTTTTCTTCATTTCCCTAAACAATAACTGTTGCTTTTTCCAAATCGTATTTACAATGAAGCATCTGGTCCCCGATGATAGAGACTATCACTATATTACTTAATTGCATACCTACACATGTTTACAACCTCTTTTGTCACATTAATATGCAAGAGTTAGGCCTCAGTACATGTTTATGTTTAGAGATAAAAGAAAATTAACAATATATTGTTGACATTCTATGATTATCATATAGCTTATGAGTTCCCAATTTCTCTGAATGTGATAAAAATTAGGAGTAAATATGTGCTTATTGCTACCATTTCGTCCAGGGAAGCAAGGCTCTCACTTCTACTTTCGTAGTTTTGCTGATTCAATTTATCATGTCCAAGCAAGGTTTTTGCCTTTGTATATAGTTGTATATATCAACTATGATATGCTAATGGAAATGAACACGAAATTTTGACAGACACTGCGAAGTTATATAGTTGATATATCAACTGGCAGCCATATTTTCTTACCGCGAAGTTACTGACATGCTAATGGAACAGAATCACAGATCTTGAGAAATAACTTACCTTTTTCTCTCGTGGTGCAAACCATATGTATATACTGATAAATGTGCTTTCAAAGAGCACTCCTAGTGAGCTGATTCCGGACAGAGTCCAATTCTCCCATCCAGAGCTCACTACTGGAAGACCGTACCAAGTATATGTGAGGCTGCTGAACAAAGTTAAGATATATGGTATGCATGAGTATTCTTCTACACTGCCCTTCTTTATCACTCTTCTGAATGTCAATCTGGGAAACACAGTAAAATGGAAAGTGTTATGCAATGCATCATATACTCTAAGCTGATCATAGGAGTTTATGATATAGGCATGTACATTGGTGCTCCATAGAGGAGAAAGCAGACTACACTTCCTGCAAGAAAAGACCATGATGGCGTTAAAAGAGGAAGCAAACTAGTTGGAGTAGCTAGTGAATTGAAAAATACCAATAATCCCTGTTGTTACGTGGAGGTCAGGAAACATTCTTTTGGGCTGAAGGTTTTATCTTGCCACAAGAACTAGATTTGCCCAGGGTTCATTGTTTATAACAAGGGGCACGCTATTTATAATGCACGATGGGTGTTTAACGTGTTGGAAGAAGAAGATATTGCTCAAACCACTAGGTGGAATATCAGTAGGAGGCCCACATACTTCTCTTGTTCATACGAAACACGGCACAATTTTCAGCAAGACCGCAAACATCAAGTAAGGGTGAAATGGCCATGCATGTTTTCTGCTCAGAATCCAGTTAATTATTCCAGCCATGTACCTAGAAGAATCTCAAAAGCTTTTATGTTTGATGCTGGTCCATCCATCCATGTTGGAGAATCTGGTATGTTATAGCATCTATTCCATCTATAAGATAGCGAGATATGGTGTCCAACTGTTGGATTTGCTTGATTATGAAGATATTGAGAAACATCAAAATGTCTCATTAGCTTCTGTTGCTAACAAGCGGCAACTGTTGATCCACAGGAAAAAAGAAGGGTGAGAATCGTTGGTGCCTTTTGTTCACTTTTTCCATACATGTTAAGAAGCACATCCATCCACTCCCTCCGTCCGGATTACTTGTCACCGAAATGGATGTATCTAGACGTATTGTAGTTCTAGATACATCCATTTTTACCCATTTCCGCGACGAGTAATTCGGGACGGAGGGAGTATCATGCATCATTATCTGATCACGGAACAGTTCTGTTATTCCGGTAAAAGGACCGATACATTTGCTTAGCATTCGTAACGAGCAACTGCATTTTTCTGGTAAAATTTATATTTATTAGATATTCTGATGCTGCTTGTTAAGCTCTAACTAATGTAATGATCCTGAGTAAATGTTCATATGATAACTTACTGATTCATGTTTCGTTTCACTCTTATTAATTTGTGTGTTTCTTGCCTCATGAGCATTCTGTGTGGTTCTCTTGCAGTGCGAATGGTCACTCATGTAATGATTCTTGTGGCCAGTATAGAACTGAGCTTTAACTTTTGGTTCACATGATCATATGTAATCTGTCTGCTGTTTCGCACGTTGTAGTGCAACCAGTGTTATTGTCATTGATCATGGAATATGCTGTAGAATGCCAGTAATCCTGAATATGTGCTAAAGTTGCCACGCTACGTATAAAATCTTCAACGACAAGCATTTGATTCCAAGAAAAGGCGACTGTCATGCAGATAAGCATACATTAGAGGTTGAGCATCTATTTCGTGTGGAGGGTGGATGTTGCGTAACTGCTTGTGTTTTTTCTTTCTTTTCGTGTTTCATTGTACCCAAAAATCGCTTTCCTCCCCGTGAAGCCGAAAGTCCCTATAAACCACCTGTATTTTTTGTTTCTTTTGCTTTCTATACTAAACTGTCATTTTAATTTGTGTGTAGTGCTCCAGTTTGAAACCCTTTCTGAACTTGAAAATTATCTTTACAGGTCATGATGCCACCAAGTTTACATTTTCCAGTTTTTCATTGACTCTTAATGCACTACAGAGGACCGCGTTACTGGAGGAGACACTAAGATCTGAAGCGTGAATATATCTGACAAAGGAACAATAGCTTTATTCTTATAGAAGAACTGATGCTGTTATGACTACTATTAATTCCAGCAGACGAATAACCACAATTTGTCTGATAAGAGCAACCTATGTATTTTAAGTAACAGGTAGGCACTCTGATGCGGTCGGTTACCCCATCACAATATACAAGTGGTCATTTTGATCGTGGTTTTTGGTAACAAAAGGACAAGAAAAAGTTGTAGCAAGTTTTATTCCATTAGGATAACCTTTCTTCTACATTGTGTGGCTGAACACTGGTTTTAGTTATTCTTTTGCATCTTCCTTGTGTGTGCTGTGGAAAAACTAGAAACAGACTTTTCTAGGGCTGATAATTTGAGTTTTAGAGGAGATAAAAATACTTCTTTTGTTATTGAGTTTACCCTAACCTAGCCAAACAAGGTTTTAGCTGGTTAAGCTCTAGAAAACCTGATTTTCGTACTCACTTGGCATTTTAAGTAGGCTCATCTGCACCAGGTCAGAAAAAAAAATCAAAACAAATACTAGACAAATTCAAAAAATTACAATTTTTTTGGATGATAGATAATTTGATGAGTGAGGTTCACTCCAACTTTTCGATCATTTGGACATCTGAGAAGCTCTCAGCAAAAAAGAAAAATCAGGTCAGAATAGTGGGTGAATAGTAAACATTTTTACAGATCCTGAATTTATCTTTATTTCCGAGAGCTGCTCAGATGTCCAAATTATTTGAAAATTGGAGCGAACCTCACGCATCAAATTATCTTCCACACAAATAAAATTTGGAATTTTTCTAGTATTTGTTTTGATTTGTTTCGTCGAGGCGAGTGCAGCTGAGCCTGTGCTTAGAAGTGGATTACCATTTTAAGTATCACTATTTATTTATTTAATAGTGTCGTAAGGTGGATTAAAAAAGTACAGGACAAATTAGTTTCGGTCAACTTTTGTTTTGAAAACGGAATTAGGAGCATCGAAACACCCTGTTCCAAGAAAAAGAAAACCATGTTTTATTCTCTAAGCACTAGTTACGGACATATTTGCATCCAAGTAGGCCCTAATAAGGCTCTCACAGGAAGAACCTATTTTGTTTTTGACACGCGAGCGCACTGCAATGGACTAAGGAAAATTCGCACACATAAAGCATATATCTATGCCCAATTGCCAGGGTGGAATTGTTCTGTTCTTCCCCTGGAACCATCTTTGTTCTTTTTTCTTGCGGCTCGGCTCGTCCGCCGATATTGTGTTAGAATGTGTAATGTGTGTTTGCATAGGTATTTTTTGTCCAGGGAGAATATAGCTACGTACACATCAATTACGTATGTGAGTCTTCTCATCCAAGGGCCAGTACAACCTTGGAGCTTGGCAAAAGAAAGTTTTGTTTTTTTGCTCTTTCGCAAAGAGATCATCTACAGAAAGTGTCGACGCACTTGGCTTGATAGCCGAGGACAGTCGGTCCAGTTTATATTCTTTCTCTTGATGTTATAAATTTATTCGATTTTAGTGGTTGTTATGTTTTCCCCAATTAATAACCACAAGAGTTTTGTGGTGCCCATCAGCAAATTCAGGAACATTACTATGCTTCAGCAAATACAAACCAAGTGTGCTGTCAAGCAGCCAACTGCATGCCATTTTAGTTTGATTGTTACACCAGTCAGTCACGTTCATCGTCCTCGTTTTGTTTGCAAGTGTTACCAAGGATCTGTGGAACATCCATCGGAATATACATAAATGGGGTAAACATTTGATTGGACTGCTGTCATGCATGTGTTACCTATACATGTTTGTTTCTCACTTGAACAATTGGACCTTGTTTGCCTACGAGTACTTGGTTGATCAACAAATGCATGTCGGCCGCCAGATGCGATGCCACATTGATCAGCATCTCTTAGAAAAGAAGATATCAAACGTAAAGAAAATTCCTGCTATGCTCTGGGATTCGCCGCAGCATTTAGAGAACCCACAATGTGCTCATGGCGACCACACAAGAGGGATAGCAAGCTCTCGAACTCCACCTCTCAACAATGACGTTGATTTGTCCCTGCTTGCCATTAGCAAGCTGTTGCCGCTGTTGCCATTCTGGCGTCCTTATACCCCCCTTGATCACCGCGGACCACAAGGCGCATCGATCCGTTTAACTCGTTTGCGTACAAGGGGAGCATCCACATCGGCGATGTTGATGGTAGGATAGAGGAGGGGTCTCATTTCATTATCCTTGATATGGCGCTGTCTCGTGCACCCGCTACTTTCTCTGTGGAGTGGAAATTTCCCTTCTGTTTAACATTCAATTCAATCACGTTTTTCCCCGCAAAAAAAAAGAAGGTTGAATAATGTTTTCTACAACATTTCCATGTTTGCCGAAAGGTTGATTCCATCAACATGGCTGCTTGGATTAAAGCAAATGCTCCATTGGCGCTAGAATGGGAAGAAAATGCTCCATTGGTGCTAGAATCGTGGAATTCCATCTACAGTAAGATATGTTCCGATATACTAATAGGAAACGCTCTGAATGAAGACCACATCAGGCTCGATCTCTAAGCTGTTTACTCCATAAAATTCTTTTTTTTCCCACAAGGGGACATATATACTCGATGCACAACATAGGTATAGGTGCCGTGAGATATTGGAGGCCACGGAAGAGATGGTAGCATGCTGGCTAGCTTCTTCTTGTGTGCAAAAGAATGGCTTTGGAACGACTGGACGATCCATTCAATGTTTCTTTCTTCCTTTTTGAAAGAACGGTGGGGATGCTGCACTTGCACTAGATATAAGTCTCAGGAAATAAAGCGCCGAGGCCAATATTATTTACAACCACATAGGCTGGACAACGCTAAAAGGCTTTCGCTCCCGATGGATCGGATCACACTGACGGGGTCTTCGGTGTCCCTCCCTCCCACCCGAGTAATCGTCGTAACCTGATCGAGTCTCCTTTCTTCTCCCTTCCGCTCGTTACCGTTGCCGGCAGTAAGGATTGTTGCAGCCATGAAGCCTTTCTCCGCGTGTCCTTATTGGGCATAGTGGCTCGGAGGTGACTGTACTGGTGTCATCCTTCTAATCCGACTAGGGAGGTTCATGGGAGTGCGCAATGAAGGCTTGGCTTGGTGGTTACAAGCCATATGCATTGGGCATGACCAGTGGGCAGTGTCATTGGTTCCACACCGACATCGTGCCTCATCGTGTGTTTTTGATGTGTTGGCTTTCAATTGGTTGTGTCGTGGAACTGGATCTCTTGTATCTGCGGTGTTGGAGCCATGGTGGACTTGGCAAAGGATGGTGGCTGCTATCTTAGCTGGGTTCGTATAGAAAGGCTACCATATACCGACCGACCTTCACGATGGATTTTCTTTTCTTCTTTTGTTTTTGAACGAGAG